ACAGAGCTGCCATCATCTCCCAGCCCAGATAGAGACTCCAAAGTCCCCGACATCAGGCTGGCTGACTCAAGGTAGCTGAGGGTGTCCGGGCTGGCCGAGGGTTGGGATTGGGAGTGGGAGGACAGGGGCTGGCTCGTTGATAAGTGGAACAGTAGGGCTAGGGTGTTCTACTCTGGTTGGGGTGCTGGGCAATTCTGCTCTGTTTACTTCACTGGGAGTCTCAGGCTTTGGAGAGAGTGGAGGAGGCTGACTTTGGGATTTTTGTGCTTGTTGAAGTGGCTGAGGTTCCTCCTCAGCTATAGATGATGCTGCTGTGTCGCTGGATGCTGGAGGAGCAGGTGTGGGATTTGAAGCTGCAGAAGTTTGGGTTGGTCCACTTTAAGTTGACATTCATCCATGACAGGATTTGGATTGTGGGTGACATGCACATTAGGGTAAAGATTGGGACCAGGATTGAGATCAGGAGAAGGGGATGCCATTTGCGATTCACTTTGTGCTGACGTCTCACTTGACTGTATGTTGGTCTCTGTTTCAGTATTCAAGGGCTCTGGAGCTGCTGAGTCACCTGTCATTGGTTCCTGAGCTCCAGTCCCTGCATCTCCCCCGACTGATTCCTCTCTTTGTGGAGCAGCATCATGTACCGTTAATGTGAAAGGAGTCTCAGCAGCGAGTTTAGGAGGACTTGAGGGAGGTTGGAGAGTCAAAGGTCTTTCGGACTGTGCTTCAGGAGTCTTCCCAGTCAAAGCTGTGTCATGGTAGAGGGAAGACTTGGGTGAGGGAATCTCCCTTGCAGACTCTGGAGCAGGGCTGTTGGGAGTAGGGATTGCTGATGAGGGTGGCGGGATGGAAGGAGCTGCATGTGGATCACCCAACGCAGGTGGTGATGGGGATAAGGTAAAAAGGTCAGCCATGGTTCCGCTATAATCGCTCCTTTATAAAAAGAGAAAGAAAATGATGGAAATTAGTTTTATTTTGCCATAAAGCAGTTTAGTAACATTCCATGTTACACTAAAAGTGTTCCATAATGGATGCCTCCGACGAATACGCCAGATCTTTTGGCCTAATAAAGACCTCCAACAATGAAGCCGGAGCATAACCAAGGAGATTACGAGAGATGGCTAGGACACGTGTTGAGGATGGTAGCAGGACCGCATCGCAAAAGTCGCCTTAAGATGGACACCACCAGGCAAAAGAAAACCTGGGAGGCCAAAAAAACAAAAAACACCTGGAGAGCGCTCATTGAAGCCTTACGTCCCATAGGGGACGAAGAGGAGTAAGTAAGTTTAGCAACATAATTATTGTACACAAAGAGAGGTCAATTCATTATTGATAACTCCATAAGCACAGTCTCTATTCTTAAAACCAGATAAAAAAAAAAATTGGATGGGATAACACCAAAAATTAAAATGACCAAATATACATTTTTCTCATACAGAAAAATAAGCAACTTCACAGACAGGAAATTAAAACCTACAACTTTACACCCAGCAAGGAACACATCGAAAACCTCAAATCCACAAACTTATATATATATATATATATATATATATCATAATCAGCTGTACAACATGCTGCCCACGACATCTATAACATCTTACTTTTGACAGAGCAAAAAGTAAACATTGCTTTCTAGGTATGGACTCGCACAATTACACTATCAACAAAAGCACAATCCCAGTGATCCAGCAGGTTTGCTGACGAAGCAGGTTCATGTCTGTGGTGGTTGCAAGCCGCAATTGGTGACCTGCTAGCAGCTAATAACATCAGCTACATTGTTGTCATATCCTCTGTGGAGGCCTCACTCGGGCCGTCTGAACTTCCCGATTCAGCACACAGAGGCAATTGTTTACTAATAGCTAATAGTCAACACCCACACACCCACACACACACACACACACACACATACATAGTCTGCCAGGCCCTAACCGAGCAGCGTCCACGGCCTTGTCCACCCTACCGCCCCCTGGCAACTACAACTCACACTCGGCTGTACAACTCACCCACGACCGGCGTGTCACAGTGATCCGTCCGCCTGGAGAGCCAGGGGGTTCCTGTTCACACGTCCCCCCTGCCACAGCTCCGGCTCCGCAACCTCCTCCGTTAAAAAAAATGAAAACACACCAAAAAAGCGAGACAGGAGAAAGGAACCGCAAAACAAGGGAGGGGGGGGGGAGGTGAGGACCCTGGAAGAGTGGAAAAAATGTCCTGCACTCGGTGAGGTAGCTGGCTAAGTTACCAGCTAGCCGAGTTAGCTTATTTTAGCATTAGCGCCGACAGTGTCCTGTTTCTTTTAGCCTAGCCTAGCAGGATGAATGTTTCCGTTACTACATCGGTGAGACTTTACGCGACTATTCTCGCCAAATTCATGCAGCGTTCAATATAATTTTCATTCTAAGGCAAAACTAATGTTCTTTGTTTAATTTATCCAAGCGCATCGATAGGGGAACATCCAACACCCGCAGCCTGCATTTCCTACTGACAGCTACGTGCGCGCTCCCGCCAGTGTCGGCGGGTACATGCACGCTCCCTGCACAGGAACCTCCCTTACACAGCAGGAATATGGTCGTTTACACTTAATAAACATTATTACTTTACATATTACATTAATATGGTTGTTTACTTTTAATAAACATTATTACTTTACATATTACATTAATATGGTTGTTTACTTTTAATAAACATTATTATTTTTAATAAACAATATGGTCGTTTACACTTAATAAACATTATTACTTTACATATTACATTAATATGGTCGTTTACTTTTAATAAACATTATTACTTTTAATAAACAATATGGTCGTTTACTTTTAATAAACATTATTACTTTTAATAAACAATATGGTCGTTTACACTTAATAAACGTTATTACTTTACATATTACATTAATGTGGTCGTTTACTTTTAATAAACATTATTACTTTTAATAAACAATATGGTCGTTTACACTTAATAAACATTATTACTTTACATATTACATTAATATGGTTGTTTACTTTTAATAAACATTATTACTTTACATATTACATTAATATGGTCGTTTACTTTTAATAAACATTATTACTTTACATATTACATTAATATGGTTGTTTACTTTTAATAAACATTATTACTTTACATATTACATTAATATGGTCGTTTACTTTTAATAAACAATATGGTCGTTTACACTTAATAAACATTATTACTTTACATATTACATTAATATGGTCGTTTACTTTTAATAAACAATATGGTCGTTTACACTTAATAAACATTATTACTTTACATATTACATTAATATGGTCGTTTACTTTTAATAAACAATATGGTCGTTTAGTTTTAACTTTTGTTTACTCTTACGTTTAATATTTCGAATTTCAATACTTTGTACTCATATGTCGAGATTTGGACTTGAATTGATCCATAACACTACTTAACACTCAAATACAGAGGTTTATAGCTGAAAAAAGTGGTTTTAGGGTTTAGGTACTCTTTAAGGTTGCCTTTGGCATACATTACTGCTTTTTGACTTTATTTCTCCCTCGGGCCTCAGGTGTGTTTTAATTTGACCCTAATCGTAGACATTAAGAACAGAGTGTCAAACCATTGTTTTTTCTTGTAAAACACTAATAACCAAGATACAAAAACGTCCATTAAGGTTTCTTATAAATCCGGAAAAACAATACAGTTTGCAGTAAAAACAAAAATAATACTAAAAAACGCAGAAATATCGCTTACTATTACAGCTGTTCCTAAATTAAGTGAAAGTCTATATTCTTATTTTGGGATATTTTGGGGATACATTTGAATATTAGATTATGTTCGGGGTATTTTGATTATTATTGTTTACATTTATATGAGTTATTTCCATTCGTTTATTTTGCTACTTGGGGCATAAAGGTGGAGTCTACATGGGTGTGTCTATATAGCCAGGTAGCCAGGTGAGACTCAGGTAGGCACCTAATGGGTTAATGGTTTTTTACTAGTAAGCCTGGACGCAATGGCAGGATGACAGGGCAAGAGAGACAGCAGCGTTTTTTGTTGTTTGTTGCCTGCTTGATGTCTCTGGATAAAATAAACCACCCTAAAACCTTCAATCATCATCTGGACAATGGACTTATTAACATATCCTGCGTAAGATTCGCCCTCTAGGTGCCTCAGTGGCTTGGTGAGTTTGCGTTAAGTTTATAATTTGTTTGGAATTTTTGTTATTTATAGACTGTAGATATCTCCACTACACTTACTTTAATGTTCAAGTAGCCTAGTCTTCTCTTGCATGTTGAAGTTGCACCAGTAGGTGGCACAATCCACTTTAATGACAAGCCTTGTATTGCTTCAGGATGTCATATCATACAAACCATATCTGGCTTTATACGTTTCAATCATCAGTATGGTGCTGAAGACCTTTATCATAAGACAAATCAATTAATATTTTTTCACCAACCCAAGTGCCACAAATCAATATTTTGTTTTTGTTTTGGAAGAGCATAGATGTTTTGCATGGAGATTGTGAATAATTTCTCTGCTCTTTTTTGAAAGAGCAGGCATGTTTAAATGTTGTGTTGAGAGTTGCCATGGAAAACCAGAAATGGGGGACACCCAGACATAATTGAAACATTGTGAATTTAAAAGGGAACTCCCATATATTTTGTCTTAGTCATATAAACAAATGCTGTCCAGCTGGTTGTCATAGAGTCTGGAGACATGTTTCCACAAGAGTACAAAGTGGAAATCAGCCCTTAGTACTGCTGGTAAACAAAGTTAGTTGTATCCATGGAACTCCAGAGAGGAACTCCCACTAAGCATGAGTTAATGGTAAGGAAACCATTGCACATCAAAGAAGAATCAATCATCATGACTCTGGTCTCCAGATGAACAAACTTGCATTATTACAAATACACTACACATCATCATAGATGCAGTAATCAAACAAGATCAGTTACGTAAAGGCAAACAGGAAAATGCAGCCTCTCCCTGAAACATGAATCAAGTGCATAATAAAAACAAACAAAGCAGTGTAGAATATAATAAATTATCTTTAATACAAATTACAAAATAAACTATTGTACCAAAAACGATACATTTCTTAAGATATAAAAAAGTATGTTTCAATTATGCAACATAAAGCATTCATAAGAATACAATATATTACTAAATACAGATATTTAGTCCATATGTATGTAGATAATGCTTGTCAATTACTTTAACAATTGTCATAATTAACAAAGTTGAACATCTATATAGTCTGTGAAATGAATCCTGTGGAATTAAATAATTCATCTGACTTTCTTTTAAATAAGGATAAAATGTTTTTGCCTCATCGAGCAAATGCTTTTATTATGTTTCCTGTATAACTTAGCAGTTATAAGTGAGTATAACACAGACTAACAAAAGATTCAAATGACATTTTTCTACCATAAATACTGTTTGCTTTCCTTTACTTTACGCTGTAATCTAAAAGCTCAGGACTTCTTTACACATCTATCAGGAGCGCTGCGTCTCTACATAGCAGCTCCTGATGTGTGTTGTAGTGGTTGAGGTCACATTAAGAGACTTTGGGTTTATCCAGGAAATGTGTCAACCATTTCTGTGTGTGGGCACGACATTGATCCCAGTCAAACAGCGGCGGTACTCAAAGTGACGTAGTGCTTTGTTTGTGGACACGGTGAAGGAGGTACTTGCAACGGCGAAGGTGTAACCATTAAGCAACGGTGTATAGTTAGTAAAGGGGCTCAGTATCCAGCGGAGCATGTCATTAAACACAGCCAGGAACCAGAGCAACATTAACGGCATGCGGACCCTCCGGAAGTTAAATGCGGAGAGGAAAAGCATGTTGAAATCCTCATAGCTCTTGTAGGGCGAGTCATCGTAGCAAAAGAAAGCTTCACCTCCGACAGCCTGTGGGCGCTCTCTCAGGGCCCGGGCTGCAAGAACATGCATCCAGGCAACGTTACCTAGTTACACAAACAAGAGGGAAAATAACAGACTGTGTGAGGTTAAAGTAATTCAAAACATAGTGGAAATCCCAAAGCAGTTACATTTACAGTAAGATTCTACAGTTATTTTACACACTTTACTTTTAATTAGATTTTGTGTTTTACATCATTTTAAACACACTTAACTTATTAGACACTGACTTCTGACTGAAGTTATACCCAGAGCCGTATGCTGATGAAAACAGCTTCCTGTCAGTACCAAATTATTGATAAATGACCACCTTACTGATGTGTGGTCATTTATCAATAATAAAAACATCAATTTGGTGACGAAACATCTCAAAAACAGGACTAACACATTTTTTTTAACCTTTTTTAATCTTACAATAGTGCCCTTATAAATCAAGGGTTGTGAAATTTAACAATATCCCCCTTAAAACTTCCACATTGTGCATAAGGACATGAAGAAGTGTTTCTTCATGCTCTTTCTTCATGCCTCTGCCACATTCACTGACATCATCCTTCACGTCACCCGTGTGCATGTTACAACAAAAATCGACAGTGCCTCATGCACTTTAGAGAACATGCATCCTTTTATAGAGCTTTTCTGTGACTTAGTCTTGTGACGTGTTAGGCATGCTATCTATTTCTTCATGTCGGCTGTCACTCATGCTCACATGCAGGTTATGTGATTAATTATCTGGTAAAGAAGCAACTGATGCCATGACTTAATAAAAACAACTGGGAAGAACTGAAAATAGCATGTCATATTTACAGATAACTTCATGACATCTAGCAGGAGATCTATTTAATGACGTGTTCACACACCTGTACAGATTGTTGCTGGATGACACTATTCACATGATGTCACAACCCAGAACATCTGTATTACTTCTCGTGTTTAACTATCTGTTATTCTTTAAAGCTACAGCGCATGCGCTTTTCACTCACTCGCAGGCAGTTGCTGGGAGTGAGCTTAAGAAAGCCATCTGTGTATTTTTAGTTCACTATCTAAACCAGCAGCAATCTCTATCAACTGCAAAGGCAGTGTTGCGTTCTGTGAAATGCACAGGCACTTTCTGTGAAAACCGTACTTCTGCTTTCAGCCTGTGTGAAAATAAGTCAGCATGCTCTGCTTTTATCTTGTTCTTCTTTCAAGCCTTTGCATTTAAGAGATAAAAATAGAGCTGAGGTTTGTTAGGATCAAACGCTACATGAAGAGACTTGCCTTAAAGCTAGTGGATATGACACACTAAAAAAAAAACTAAACTTTACCTGCATAGACTCGTCCATGTTCAGTTTCATCAGGGACACCCGATGATCAAACCTCCCCTTGTACACCCTGCTTTAGAAGTCCTTAATTAGCTCGTGCCCTCGCCATAGATCCCTGTCGGCCTCAGGGAGCATGTGTTTAAACACTTCCACCCTTCACCTGGACAGGAGACAAAAGCAGGATTTGTTGTCATGAATTCAGACAAAGAAAAGAGAACAACAAAGCAGACTGTAGCTTTCTTATTGTCAATAGCTAGAGTCCCAATACAGTTAGACACAAAAAGGATGATCTAGTGTTCTGTGGCAAAGTTGCACAAGCAAAATTCTTGTTATGACATTTTCAAGCCAACTAGACACACAACAGTTACAAAAACACACACGAATGTGTAACCCAGTCTGAAGCTTAACATTAAAAAGATGCACTCAAGAATCTGATTCTTAGTATTTAATCTGATTTTAGGAATAATATTTATTGACATGCAGAAATTAATATATCTGGAAACAATGTTGTGTTTTTTCAATTGTACATCTGCAGTTGTTTTTAAATCAGTTTCATTGCATCGTTAATGTTTTATGATTCTTAGTTCAACACTTTGAGGAGCTCCCAGAGGGGTCAGAGAAAATGTACCCAACAGTGGTTGTGCTTCCAATAAATCAGCCTCGCTGTTGCCTGGCTGGATGTTAATTAAAATGTCAGTTGAATGTTACCCCTACAGAGTCCGTTATTTAACAGATAAATACTATAAAAACATGGTACCTTGGTGCATTAGCTTCAAGTACGATCTTCTCTGCCTTTGCCTTGGTCTTGGGGTAGGGCATGGTGTGGTACACATTGTAAGGGGTGTCTTCATTGCCCCTGTAAGAAAAAGACACAAACAGTCACAGGAGCACTCAGGAGAAAGCAAATAGTGCTTTTCTGACCCCGCCGCATGCATGAGAGGAATGTGTTCCAATGAAGCCAAATGGAAAACTGGAGCTCAGAGAGGACACTCACAGAGAAGGAGGGAGAGAACCAAAGAGAGAGAGATAGGGGAAAAAAGGGTCATTATAGGAGGCTGTCCTGTATAATCTTGAATCTTTCATCTTTCCACTTGATAGTGTTTCTCGGCAGAAGGCTTCCTCCGACAAGAGCAGACAAAGGATCATTCTCTCATCCTGTTACAAATGATCTGTTACAGACAA